CACTTTATGATCTCAGTGTAAAAATTTTTATCAACTTGTAAAGGACATACAAAATATCCTTGAAAACGATGGTGTGAACACAGCACACCTCTTAAGTTTCCCCAGATTCTCCTCACAATCTGAAGTCTTCTGAACATGTGCAATTTGCTCCTTCGTAGCTCAAAACCTTCTAAGTGTCAGAACACACAGTTTACTCAGATACCATGGTTACCAACACTCAGAAATGCTTGCTTATTATTGCAGTAAAGGTTGTAGGGCTGGTCTTCATGTGCCTCCAAATATCTGCAGAGTGCATTTCCTTCTCCACCAAGTGACCACAGCTGTCCACAAGTACCTGGGATGAGGGAACAGAGCATTCAAGTGAAAAGGGCATGCCTCAGTAATAAATCTCATTTTGTTGTGGAATGATTGTCATGAGTCAGCTACAGCTCTGCATTAGTGAGGACTCCTTGGGAGAAGAGGAGCCCCATGTAGTCAGCCTTGAGCTAACAGAATCTGAGCTGCAAGCTTGTCAGGATCCACATCCGACAGCTGGTGAAGAGCCATGGACATCCTCCAGCCCTGATTCAGCAGGTGGAGCTCAGTTAGCCATTCCCAGCACACCAGTATCACCTACACTCTTACAGCGCCACAGGTGGAGGCTGAGAACAGAGCTACAGACAAGACAGCAAACTGCACGCCTTCTGACCTGATATCAGCTGCTTGCTGATAACGAAGATGAGTAGTTATAGAATTGCTTCTGAGCAGCTGGCTGCAAGTATGACCCTTAAGCGTGGAGCTATAAAACCAGCCAAGAGATGCTGTTAGGCATGGACACAACACGTACAATAGACACTACGCCACCAACTCTGCCTTGTCTAACTTCTGGAATCCTGACCTTGGACTGAATAACCATGCCTTGCGTGACTTCTGGCATCTGGTACTTGGAGCCTGCAAGCCAGTATAGTAATTCTGAAAAGATTTATCTAACCACTCAGCTTGTGGTCAGTTATTTCCTTTCCCAACTCATAGCATATATAAAGTTTCATACTTTTCATCATGGAGGCACTTCCTAGGCATGAGAGAAGAAGAAAGGGCTGTGAGAAAGGGAGGAGCCATGAGGAAAAGAGGAGGGGCCACGGGAGAAAGTGGAGGGGCCATGGGTAAGCGGCAAGCATGGCAGCAAAAGATACCTGGCAGGGCAGAAGCTGCTGTCACTGCGCCCACTCATTAAATTTGTTCCCTGAGTTCTTCATGCCACATCAAGGCTGCCTGGCCCTGAACACGATGGTTGCTGTAGTTTTGTTCCCATGTGTCTCTGAGAGCCAGTTTGGTGTAGTGGTTAGGAGTGAGGGGACTCTAATCTGGGAGAACCGGGTTTGATTCCCCGCTCCTCCACATGCAGCTGCTGGTGTGACCATGGGCCAGTCGTAAGTTCTTTCAGAGCTGTTCTCTCACAGGCAGCTCTCTAAAGAGCTCTCTCAGCCCCACCTACCTCACAGGGCGTCTGTTGTGGGGAGGGGAAGGGAAAGGAGATTGTAAGCCGCTCTGAGACTCCGAGTGAAGGGCAGGATATAAATCCAATCTTCTCTTCTTCTAACAAAAAAAACCAACAAGAGCAGAACATGCTTTCCACGTTCCCCCTCAGGATCACAGTGCAGTGAGTCATTCAGTTTGCCGCACTGCAGTTTGCTATTGTCATTCCATTGTTTTTTACTAATACTTTTTTTCTTCATTATATCCACATTCTGTATCACACTCAATACACTATGCTCATTCCGCCTATATACCAGAAGGTAACCGGTGGCTCTTTGAGATTGCATATTTCTACTTACTCTTTCCGTTTTGAAGACGTACCACCAGAAAGCGAGGGGCGCTATTCCAAACACGGCACCCAAGAAAGAAGTTTTAGGATTGACCCGGAAGTGAGGGAGGGCGTTTGCTTTGGCGTAGGTCCACTGAGTCACGGCGATGTCTTCCTGAAGGGGAGAAAGAGGGCAGTGACCCAGCCAGGCAATTAAATTGTCGTCTACAGCATCCTTATCCAGGATGGCAAACGAAGGCATTTTATCCCAGTAACGTGAGGCCAGTCTGGCAGAGAGAAAGTGACTGGACCAAGCTCACAGCCAGCTACGGGCAAGTGGGGATTCGAACCTGGATTTCCCCAGCCCTAAACCAACACTTTAACTATTATATCTTAATCATTATATCCCCATATGTACCCCAGAGAGTGCTGCGGTCAGGGACTGTTGGAATGAGCTCCCAGAAGACAGCAGGGCCCTGCGGAACTTCTCACAGTTCTGCAGGGCCTGTAAAACGGAGCTCTTCCGCCAGGCCTTTGGAGCCACCACCACTACTACCTCCACCACCATTACCAACAACAACAACAATTGACATCTATGACGGTGGACCCCTGACCCACTGGGCCGATCACCCTAGACAGCTGAAGAAGACATAGGAGCTGACCAGAATATGAGGAAATGTTTACTAGCACTTCATTTTTTATGCGTCTTGGTTTTAAAATTGTATTTATATTAACTGATGTGATTTTATCTTATCGTATTATTGACATTTTATTCTGTGTGTGAGCCACCCTGAGCCGGGAGGGCGGGATAAAAATCTAACAAATAAATAAATTACGACTGCCTAACTCAGGGGGTCCCAAACGTGGTACCTTCAGACACCTTTCCTGGTGTCTGCCAAGTACCTTTAAAAAGTGGGCGGAGACAGGTGGAGCTGTTGCCTAGCAAGGCTTCTGACTGACCACTAAGGACATAAGAGAGGAGCAGCAGCTCTTACCCTGGCCGGTGCGGCACGGCTTAAGCTCTTCCTCCCCTCCACTGTGCCCGTATTGCTAGCAGCATGTGGCCCGGGTCACATGATGATGCTAACAGCGAGATCCTCCTATGCCCCTTGACACAGGTGCAGTGGAGGGGAGGGAGAGCTTCAGTCGTGCCACAAAGAGATTCTCTAATCATCCGTCCTACTGCTCACTGCTTGCCCGATCTTTCTGCTGCTTCCCCCTATTGGGGTAAAGAGAAGGAAGGGGGGGGGTTTTACAGAAACCGCTTTGGGCCAGCACGGCAGCATGGCTTAAATAAAACTGTAACTGCAAAAAATTGGAGAAGACTGGGTGAAAAGTATGCAGATTCAATAGGGGGTGCTGCATATCCAAAAGGGGGCACAGCGCCCCGCCACTGCCTGCGGGCCTGTGCAATTCCCCACGCTGCCACAGATGTTTGCCCAGTGTCCACTGGCCAGTCACACACGCTAGGCCTAACCTACCTCACAGGATTGTTGTAAGGATAAAGGAGAGGAGAATGATACAAGTCGCTTTGGGTCACCACTGGGGATAAAAGGAAAAATAGCAATGAAATAAATTCTCTGTCTTGCAAGGCTTTGTTGTTTTACTACTTTGGGCTTTACTGTTTCAATATTAACCAGAACTGTACCTCAGTTGTTGTTTTTTTAATTTGAAAATTAATGAAGTAATACAACCAAAAGAGGCAAAAACTTTCCACCTAACCGGGGGGGGGAAAGAAAGGCAGAGAGGAGGCTAAGCTGAAGTCCTGCCACACAATATTTTGTTCTTGCGGGGAAGGCAGGAGTGAAGACAGAGAAGCATTCAAACACAACAGTCCTTCAGCCTCGGTGGGACATTCCCTCAAAGAAGCCTTCCTGAGCCTTGGACTACTTACATATCTCACAGTACGATGCTTAACTACTTAATTTATCTGAAAAAGTATTGAAAAAGTAAATGGCATTTGGAAAAGTGTGCTTTGCACACGGAAGCTCATACCTTGCATAAACCTTTGTTGGTCTTACAGGTGCCCCCACGGGACTCTAAATCTGTTCTACTGCTTCAGACCAACACGGATGACCACCTGGATCTACTTAATTTATTGTTAGCCAAGCTTCCTCACTGAGACTCAATAGGGACTACAGAATAAAGGGGGGGAATGTAACCATGTAACGTGAACCAGGCAATGAACAATGCAACAGGAACAGGAATATAAATCCAGTGACCCTGCAGGGGGTTGTCTACAAAGCCAGAGAGGTAAGCAGAACACCTGGGAGCAAGCACAGGGAATTGGTGGTATTCAGCACCCAACAGCCAGAGGAGAAGAACTCTTTTATACCCATCACCTGTCCTGACATCCTATATCCCGGGCGTCTATTATAAACGTGTCGATATAAATGCAATAGCCTTGTCTGGAATGCACTTGCTACGTTCTGACTTTTACAGCATAAGAACATAAGAGAAGCCAATGTTGGATCAGGCCAAAGGCCCATCTAGTCCAACGCCAGAAATACCAGGTGCCATCAGGAGGTCCACCAGTGGGGCCAGGACACAAGAAGCCCTCCCACTGTTGCCCCCCCCAAGCACCAAGAAGACAGAGCATCACTTGCCCCAGAGCCCCTATCTATACCTTGTGGCTAATAGCCACTGATGGACCTCTGCTCCATATGCTTATCTAATTCCCTCTTGAAGCTGTCCATGCTTGTAGCCGCCACCACCTCCTGTGGCAGTGAGTTCCATGTGTTAACCACTCTTTGGTTGAAGGACTTCCTTTTGGTTGTTGCATACGGAGAGGAAGCACCCAGTGCTAATATTGCACACTTGATGCGTTGGCAGGGAGCTGCAGCCTATTTTGACCCCGCCTTTCCGCCCAGGAGCTTCTCCCTTTCACCCCCACACAACAACCCTGCGAGGCAGACCCAGAGGCCCAAGGTCACCCGGGACGCTCCGCGACAACTGCGGGGATTTGGAGCCGGCGCGGCCCCACGAACCGAGCCGGACACAGGGCCCCCCGCCCGGTCTCTGCCCGCCAACGGGGCCAGGCGCGGCCGCCACTCACGATGGGCTGCGTCCGGCGGGGGTCGCTGAGCTGCAGCAGGTACTGGCGCTTGAGGCGGGCGCGGATGGCCAGGCGCTCGGCCTCCGCCCGGCGCTTCTCGGGCGAGGAGTCGTAGTAGGCCGGGTCTAGCTGCGGCGGCAGCGGGGCCAAGGGAGCCGGCCGGTAGGTGAAGCCCGACCCGGACGACGAGGACGCCGCCATTTTGATCAGGCCTCCGCCTACCACCCCACGTGATTTCGAAAACGCAAACTCTGACCCGGAAGTGATGTATCCAGCCGCGCAAAGAGAGCAAGCGGAGTGGTTTCTATTATATTTCCGGTTTCGAATTAGAAGCGGATGGTATCCTCCATGTGCGGGGCAAGTTTGGCAGAAACACGAATTCACGATTTAAATCTACCTACCTACCGCTCTGCCGAGAAAACAGTTATTAAAAGAGAGACCGAAATGACGTTCCTTTTCTCATATATACAGGGCTTTAAAAAAAAAAAAAAAAAAAAAAGAAGTGCGTAACTCTTAAGAGGGAAATGAAGTTTTCAATCTGTGTATACTGAAAACTCATGAACTTTTAAAACGTTTTTAAAAGAATTTTGTCAAAGAGGTTCTGGAACCCCATTCTGGTGCGTGCCCCCCGAAAAAAAAGCCCTGTAAAAATATCTAATCTATCTTCTCTATCTGTATAAAAGGTAAAGGTTCCCTTGCTCGAAAGCCAGTCGAATCCGACTCTAGGGTAGGGTTGCGGTGCTCATCTCCGTTTCAAAGCCGAAGAGCCAGTGCTGTCCGAAGACGTTTCCGTGCTCATGTGGCTGGCATGACTAAACACCAAGGCACACACTGTTACCTTCCCACCAAAGTGGTACCTATTTATCTACTTGCAATTTCTTGCTTTCGAACTGCTAGGATGGCAGGAGCTGGAACTAGAGATGGGAACTCACTCCGTCATGCGGCACCCGGGTCTCGAACTGCTGAACTACCGACCTTCCACAGCCTGCAGTTCAGCATCTTAACCACTTGAGCCACCGCAGCTCCTCTATCTGTATAAGCCCTGTATAAATTCATGATTTATATCTATCTTCTAATCTATCTGTCTAATCTATCTTCTCTATCTAATCTATTTTATCTAGCTAGCTAGCTATCCCTCTGTAGAGAAAACAGTTAAAAAACTGACAACAATAACGTTCCTTTTCATCATACACAAACACATATATACACACATACATATATATATGAGGCTCTCTCTCCTTGCACTGCTTCGAAACAACCATGCTCTCTACTGAGAAACAGTTATTAAAATACAGACAAGAATGAAGTTCCTTCCATCACACACATATACACACACGCACAGAGAGAGAGGTCATTTCCTGCAGGAGCGCACAGGAGCGGAGCTCCGGCAGTAAGGAGCCCAGGGGGCGGACACATGCAACAAGCCGGGATGCTCCGGAAGTGTGTCAGAAGGCAACACCCACCACTCGGCTCCACTGGACTGTTTTGGATTGCTAGCTATTGGGGGGGGGGGGTAATGCGCAGATCTGTCCCCGCAGAGGAGGGAGAGCTTCTACCTGAAGGCAACTTACCTGGCTGCTTCTTGCTCCTCGTGGCCTAACTGAGGGCAGCTGGGAGCAGGGGGCAGGGCTTGT